AACTATAGCTTATTACTGTGCAAGACTAAAAAAAAAAACGAATGAAAGCATATATGTGCAATGTGCATTGTGCATGCTGCTCCAAAAAGATTGTTTCTTTGCGCCTATGGATGACATATGTACCTTATATATGACATATGTACCTTATACCTAGGTTTGGTGTCCATGATCCATTCATTGTTGACGGGCTGGTCCGGGCTGGACGGGCTAGACCGGGCTGGGCTTCAACAATTTTACTATGCATGGGTTCGCGCTGGGCCGGGCTGTCAACCCATGGGCCTGGGTCGGGCTGGACTGGGATTTTGCGGCCCGTGGCGAACACTGTTACATGGACTAAATCTACAAAAATCTCTTTAACAGCAAATAGTTATGTTCATACATATAAAAAACGACAATGTATTCAAATACACATTCAAATTAAGCCAACGAAATATCACGAACTCTACAGAAGGGAGGTGTGAACGTGGCGATCAGTTCTGGAAAGAAGATAGGCGAACTGATCGAACGACGTAAAACGAAACATGGTTCCGAAGCGAATGCGAAAAGTGTTGTGTATGAAATTCCATGTAAGGGGTGTGGACAAAGTTACGTGGGGGAAACAGGGTAGATGTAAGGGTAAAGGAGCACAAGAATGACGTCAGGTTCCATCGCACATCGAATGCGATCGTACTTCACATTGAAAAGTGTAACCATCTGCCTGACTGGGATGGGACGCAGATCTTAGGAAAGAACATGACAAAACGAAAACGCAAAATCATCGAAGCCGCTCATATTATCTCACGCGAAACATTTAATACTAGGAGTGGGTTCATTCCTTTAGCGTCTGGTGCTGTTCGTCTAGTAATAGGTAGTCCCTGAACTGTATCCCGTGCGGTGAAGTCAATTTGCCTTTTGAAATATTTGAAAACATTCCTTCATTTTAGCAGACACACAGTGATCAAGGTATTTGTTACCGAAAGCTCTGTTTTTTAATTGTGTATTTGAATACATTGTCGTTTTTTATATATATCTGTCATGGATAACACACATATGTTCATATCATGACTTTATTTTAGTATTTTAACCCTCGCATGTGTAGGGGTAGTTGGATGGACCCGCGTCCCGCCCCCTCGGTTTTTCGCGAATAATCTCGCTCAAAAAGCGGACGATCGCGACGAAACTTTCAGTACCCCAGAGTTGATCAATTTTACACATACTCTTTTTCTTTCATGAACTTGACCCAAATGACCTTTGACCCCTGGCCTTTTTCTCGAGACCATGTTTGACCGAAATCGCGATTCAGCGTATTTTCAGCGTATATTTTGATTCAGCGATCACATTATCCGCGCGTTTCCAGTCTTTTTTGTGTTGTAAACGTCCAAACATGTCAAATGATGTTCGTCCCATGCGGCATGCATTACGGTGGGTGCCAAGGTCACGTAAAGGTCAGGTCAGGGTCATTGATCTTTGAGGACCTTGATTCACTTTTTCGAGTTTAACATGTCGTTAGGCGGCACGGGCGGACATCGATAGCAGCGCCTCTATCGGTCACTAGGGAAAGCTGGGCTGTAGGCGACGAAATACCGGCTGAGTTGTCACAAGTTAAACAGGTTTATAGACATCCGTCTTGTGACAAAGTTGAACTTTTGCCTTCAATATTTCTACAGGCAATTTTAGAAGTGCCTTCACATAGACTACAAAACCGTTTAAATTATTTTATTCACTTCAAGCCTTCCCTATTGTTCTTGATGATGCGGGAACTATTTCTAATTAGTGTTTCTAGCTTAGTAAAAGAACATATTGTGCAAACGATGAAAAAAGCATAAATGGAAGATTTTAAATGCAATTTTATGTAACAAATAATGGTAAATTCTCTACACATCAAGGAAAAGGTGCATGCTAACTGATAATTTAAAGTTCTTGGGGCCAGTTGGTTTCTTCTTTTCTTACGTCGCCCCAATGGCCGCGAATACACTTGTGATAACGCCTATCGTCCTGGCATCCGTTTGAACATTTACTTAGTAGTTACGAGCGAGCGAGCGCAGCGAGCGAAGCGAGTCTTTGCAATATAACGGGAAAATATCAGTATGAGCGGCCCGGCCCGGCCCGACCGGGCCTGTAACGCTTTTGAGAGGCTTATATCTCAGCAACCGCTAAACCGATTGGCCTGCGGTCTTTTTTGCTCGGTAGCCCCATCCCTTCTACCCCGTAATTGACTACTTTTGATACATCTCAGTGACCGTCGTGGCACGTGCCACGTGAGAAGTCAAGGGTGTTCAAGCTGTTTTGCAAAAGAAGTGATTTTGAAAGGCTCGTATCTCAGCAGCCGCTTGAGCGATTGTCTTGCGGTAATTTTTGTAGGGTAGCTGCATCCCTTCTACCAAATGTCGGATACTCTTGATCTATGTGAGTGACCCCCACTGCACGTGCAAACAGCAAAATACAAAAAGAAGAGGTGCCAAATTTGTTCCCATTTCAATAACTCGGTACCTAATTACTGGGCGATTTCGCTGAAACTTGCCACCAGGCTATGCATTCCCATGTGTTGCGTTTAAGGTGCTACTGCACGACGTGCAGTGCACGTGCGCACGTACAGGGGGCGCTTCCAGATCTCGAGAACGGCTGGGCCGATTATTTCAACATTTTTTTTTTCTTCAAAAAGCGGCGCACAACTCGGGAACCAATAGAGCTACCCGACTCAAGAAACAATAGACGCAGCAAAACGGACGAGAAGGCAAACGAGAGAACGCGACGAGACATTTACGATGAGCACCTGAAAGTTGAATTTCAAGGTCACAGGTCGGGTCAAGGTCAGATCAAACACATGAAATTGGGCTTTCAGTAGCATGGGTCCAAAACACCTCTGGTGACCTGACCTTTGACCTGACCGAAAAAGTGACTTAAGTATAAAGTTCGCCATTATTCCTTACGCTTTTTCGAACGTCGCTTTCCCCGTATCGCTACATGGCCCAGGAGCCGAGCTAAAAGGGGGGTGTTCAAACACCCCGCCCACCAGCAGGGCGTGTAATTCCAGGACCCCCAGCGGGGTGCGGGTTATGAAATGCATTCATCATGGTCGTGAAGTAGTCACAATAAATTGCCAAGATTCCATTCAAGATTTTGGAAACCGTAGAACGATAGGTAATCAAAAATCGAAGATGGCAATTTGATTGTTCATGGTAGGTATAGGCAGTCCAATGACGTTTACGGCATGTCTGTATGTCTATTCTGTGCCTACCCATGATTTTTTTAAACATGTGTCGTTTTTTCGAAAGCTCAAATCATGACGTCAGTAAAACCTCGATATCTTAACCCTCGCATGTGTGCGGCGTTTGCCAGCTTCTAATGTGTAGGGGGGGGGGTCGGTTGGACCCCCCCCTTGCCGTTTGGCCCCTGATCGAGCTAGAGCTTCGCGGAAAAAACGAGCGTGTTGCCCGTGACGAGAGGAAGCCGATGATACCCAATTTTAAGGTCCTAGGTCATTGGTTGACCTTCCAGGTCAGGTCAATGACCCAAGGTCGGGAAAATCGGGACCTGTTAGAAAGTCGTAAAGTGTGGCTGCTAAGGGGTTTTTCGGGTGCTGATCACGAATATCGTGTTAGTTTTGATCACAGATGATGTCTTTAAGCATTTAGACTAGGTCGGGTCAGGTCAGGTCAGGTCAACCAGTAGGCGTCGTGACGGGTATTCGTATTACGTGTCAACCGCCTCTGACAGCTTCGTAACATGTTACGAAGTCACCAAAACTACTTCGTAAATGTTTAAATGGTTGCTAAATTCGAATTCAGCTCCAAAAACTAGCCTAGAAACATGTAAAACTCGAAAAAGTGAACCGAAGTCACCTGACCTGACCTGACCTGACCTTCAGGTGACCTTGACACCCACCCTAATGTATGGGAGCAACATCAAATCACACGTTTGAACGTTTGAAACCACGAAAAGCTTGCAAACGCGCGGCTAATGCGAGCCGACATACGCGGAATCGCGATTCCGGCCAAACATGGTCTCGGAAAAGAGGTCACAGGTCAAAGGTCATGGGGGTCAGGGTCATGAAATTTTCAGGGTAGGTGTAAAATTGATCAATGTGAGGGTACTGAAAGTTTCGTCGCGATCGGCCGCTTTTTACGCGAGTTATTTGCGAAAAACCATGGGGGGTCCATCCGACCCCCCCCCCCCCCTACACATGGGAGGGTTAAAAAATTGGACCGATTTTTTGGGAAATTTTGTCACAATAAATTTCTATAGATTCCCTACATGTACCTACCTACACAAAATTTGGAACAAAAAAAAAAACATCGTCCCTATGCTAAAATTCTGCACCAGCAACATTCCAAGTGTTCGTGCTTACAAACGAGCCAATTGTTTATATGGACTCTCAGCTGCTCCCGGGTCATGCGCAGCGCCTCGCCGACTGAGCGTATGCCAGGCTGAGGCGACAAGCCAGCCCGTCACCGCAAGAACGGCGCTGCCTCCCTCCCCCTCCTCCCGACCCCGTCCCCCGACCGGCGCGGCATTCCTCAGGCCACAATAGTGACTCTCCTCCCTCAGTTGACCCGTCCTCAGGTGCGGTGTACACTGGACAAATACCTCTGCCGGGGCTGACGGGGTCCATGTTTGAACAAGGGATTAAGGGAAGCCTTCAAATATCTCAGACGGAGTTTTCGCCGAAACTACCAGCTAGCGCCATCCACCGGTGAACGGCGGTACTAAACTTCATTCGCTAGTTCCCGAAACGACACACCATGCGTGTAGTCGAACAGTACTTGCGTCAAAACACGCCATATACCACTCAACACCGTACATACATGCACTCAATACTGCCGGCATGCAGCCGTTACGAACATTCCCGCTGCCGTTTCAACTACCTTGCCCATAGTAGCGCCACTCCCAAATGTATCTTAACTCTTCCTTCTCAGTAAACTCACCTTCAACGCTCTCCTCACAGAGACATTCAAAACCTCGGGATTATTCGCCGTCGCTTCCCCACCGTATGCTAACCCTCCCGTTCCCCCGCGTCTCAGGTCATGATGGCCACAGAGGAAGTGACTGAAATGGACGTGGCCGCCAGCATCCCCGCCGAGCGCGTGGTGCGCGCCGTCGCCAAGGCCGTCACCATATCAGAGGATGACATCGGTGAGAGGCCTGGCTGTGAGGGCGTGATTCGGCGATTTGTTTCATTTCCTATCCCTACCGCCCTTATCTCCCCGTTAAATTCTTTCGTGATGAGTATTCTCACGTAACCCGTCCTTGATCCGTACGTGATGCGGCCGTGACTCGTCCGTGACTAATTCGTGACTCATCCGTTGTCCGTCTCCGTCCACAACCCTTTCATGACCTGACCTGTGACCTCCCGGCCGTGTGTCCGGCAGCGGTTGCCAAGGTAAAGGTGTGCGCCGCCCGGCTGGTGGGCGAAAACGACCAGCCCGTGCTGGTACCCACCATCGAGGAGGGCGACAACTTCTGGACCACCTCGCACGGCCGGTTCCGCTTCACCGTGGACGAGCTACCGCCCGAGCTGCAGCTGCTCTACGGACTCCTGAACGTTAGTGGAATAATCTCCTCGTGCTTTGCTTCCCTGCGAAGTGCGAACTGAAGAATATGGCTGTATAAACGGTATTGTCTACAAATTGTTGGTTAGTCGATGCGTATATTCTTGCATCCCAAAATACTTGTAGCAAAATCATAAGCTATTGAGGGCTGTTCTCAATAAATCGTTCGAGTCGGAGCTTTCGAATTGTATTCACAAAACTTCATCAGCGTGTCGTATACGGGTTCAGGCCTGCAGAGCCCGATACCGATTATGACACGCTGACAAAGTCGCCCTCCAGAGCTACCATATCCAGCCCTCCAGAGCTACCATATTCTGACCCCACCTCTGCGCAGCGTATGAAGGAGAGTGACGACCAGGACGTCACCTCGCACCTGCTGGCCTGTCTGCGACTGCTGGTGCTGCACGCTGACTGTCTGCAGCGGGCGGCCAGGGACCACCGCGGCTTCCACATCTGGTGTCAGGAGAACCTCGTCATCAAACAGTAATTACGAGTCGCTGCGGGGCGATCCACCCGCCGCCTGCGCTCAGTGGTGTATTGATGTGTTCAGTTACAGTTTTGGAATGGCCGATTCTGGAGAAAAAGTTTTAAGTTCCGCGCTGTGTATCATAGGACGTGTCTGCAAACTCTGCTTGATACGCATGTGTTCTCTAAGTCTGCTCTCAGTCTTTGTCCGTCTTTATTGTTAATGTGAATTTTTGTTTCAATGTCTTACATTTTATTTATTTCTGCCTGAATGTTAGATAAACCATTTCTCTTTGCTTTCGTTTAATGTTTGTTGTCATTGTTATTTTCAAAATATCTATGGCGCATGATTTCACGTTTCTCTGACATCTGTTTTCAGTTTGTCTTGTTGCTGCATCTGAGTCTGGTGAGTATCATCTGTCTGTCTGTTTCACTTCTCGATTCATCCCAAATTTCGTGTTATTATTACTTCCTCTATAATTTTCTTTGAATCGTTTTATTCATAGCAGATGATAGTCTGCTTTGTAGAAACGACATGGTTGATGGCGATGTATCATGACGTAACCATGATTGTTCATGGTGCGTTTATATTCCTAATTTTAATCACGATGTTTTTCGCAACAATTACAATAATCAACGACAAATCACACCGTATCCAGCCGTATGACACTCTCGTTCCCTATCCCCCCCCCCCTTTCCCTAGACTGTGGGACCTGCTACTGGCCGAGTACTCCCAGATCCCGGAGATAGCCGTGCCCGTGCTGCTCCATGCCATCACACTGCCCTGCGGTGCAGATGTGTTCTGGCAGATCGTCGGCAACGAGTTCCAGAGCGACGACTGGAAGGTCCGCTTCACCGCCGGTGAGTTAGACAGTGAGACAGTCGCTGAGACAGTCGCTGAGACAGTGAGAGACTTAGTCATTGAGACAGGCTGTCTCGGTGGCTATTTCTTAGTGATACAGGGAGGCGGACGGTGAATGAGGCACTGGTCATCCCTCGGCTGTGCAGTTCGCGCTGGAGTTGTGTTTTGGCTGGATAGCCGGTCGCGGTCGGAACTTGCCGAAAGTCGCTGAGAGTGGGCTGACATAAGCAGTGTTTGGAGATGTGTTGTCTGGTTGTGACGCTTTAATTGCGGTACCGGAACGCTGAAGCCTCCTCTACTTTCCTCTAACCACCCCGCCCCTCCCCCGTCCTCCAGTGGAGCGCGCCACGGTACTGGCCCGGTTTCTGGAGCCGTCCGTGGTACGCCGCAGCGGCCCGGCGCTGCAGCCGTCCCTGGCTCACGTCTTCTCGTACCTTATACACGCCGTGGACGACCTGTCGGCGGCCGTGGCGCAGAAGGTGCAGCTCTACATGGAGACCATCCCCGACGGAGGCATACGGGTGGGTGCTGGGTTGTCAGTTCGAGGGGGAAGGGATGATATATGTATTGTAATGTAACGATGCGGGTAAATACCTATGTCGCGTCAAAGGCAGCATATTGGTTGGGCAGCAAAGTGAGTGGCACTAGAGGAAGGGAAGAACTCTGGCACTGAGTCTGACCAAGAAAACCATTAATGTGTCTGGAGGCGCAGCTAAACACGCTCTGGCGCCCCACAGACGATCTGTATGTGCCTGGAGGCGCAGTTTGACACGGTGATCGTGGACCGGCCGCTGGTGCTGAAGACGGTGCTGCAGCTCTTCAACCTGCTGCCGACGCGCGGCATTCTCTCCTGGGAGTTCTTCAACAGTCGCTTCGACTGTCTGGTGCTGGAGACACAGATACGGCTGGAGCGACACGGGGACATTCCCATCACTAAAGGTGCGTCCGGCCGCCCGCCGCCAGCAGTGACAGTGCCATCTCAGTGTATCTGTCAGTAGCTATCTACCTGCTAAGGAACTGAGATGGGGGATCTATAAATACTTCAGTCACTGCGATTGTTGGATCTTCCAGCTCAATGCGTAGAATGGTTTATATATCAGCCCAGTTGCTGGGATGCAGGTTCACATGCCTTTGCTTCGCGCCTCAATAATTATGCTTAACCTCGAACTATCAGTCACTCTACTAGTTCTCTTTGAAATCATTTCCCCAACAAATTATTTCCTACTATGTCGTGTCGCCATTTATCGGGTCTATTAGACCCACCGATGACGCCAATTCTCTTCTCCAGACCTGAAGGCGGACGGCGCCGCCAGCGAGGCGTACATCCGCCGGCTGACGCGGGCGCACGAGGCGCTCACCGCGGCCGCCTCAGGGCCCGGCCATCGGCGCACGCTCAACTCTAGCATCGGCGCCAAGTGGCCGTATAAGCGGGCCATGTCTGCGCCGGCGGTCGTACCGCGGCCAGATAAAAACGGTACGACGGCACCCAGAGTCGTAGACGGTACGCAGGTGACACGGAGGCGCGGCAGCGGCATGTCGGTGTGGATATGTACTGGCTCGGTGTGTTCGGCTGTTGTTGGATCACGAGCTGAATGTGTTGTTTTATTTACGTTGTGAGTAGTGACAGCTGCAGCAAAGGACATGAGTCAAAAGTCTTTAAGTACTTTCCTTCGCATTGTTTTTTTTGTGGATCAATGAACGGCCACCGAGTATGTGAGCCGTGCACCTCTTCGGGCTGACGTCGAAGGGACCGTTTCGATGCGGTGGGATCATGGATGAGTCTGCCATCAGGACGGCAGCCGATGAAACCACGGTGTTTACCCGACTGGCTTTAGTCCCGATATCTTTACTCTGGATTTTCGCAATGTCTCTCAATGGTCCTTACAAAAGAGCGGAAGGACTCCTTAGCTGGCGGAGATGATTGTCTTTCCTTTACACTTATGCTGTATTTATGCTCTCAGGAATGAGGCTCTGTTTGATGTTGCACGATTGTAAAAAAGGAAATATCGTCGATAACTACGATGACTGCTATTGTTGTAAATATGCACCGTGCAGTGTATATCTTTTCATCTGTGTCGTGTTTTGTCCCTCTGTGTTGTGTTTGTACGAGTTATATTGTCACGTTTTCTTTATTGAAGTTTATAAGTATGTGATGAGCTAAAGATGAGCCTTAGGAAGAGCTAATCTAATCTTATCGATGGTAATTTAAGTATCCAGGCTGATATGTAGACAGGAAAAACTGTCTCTCCTTTTCGTATTTCTAAACTTTGCCACAGCTTGTCATTTCACCGATTTTAATGCTATTTCGTTGTATTGCAGACATTTTGAAGCACACCTACCCGCGCCAGGCCTCGGCCCCGGCACTGAACAGAAAGGCGTCTCGTTTCGGTATTTCGCAGATGAATCATGCTCCGGGTGAGTGGTGTGAAAGCTATTCATGCTTACAAACAGATGCCGGGCTAACCCCGCGTTCGCAGTCTCCCAGACGACAAACTTTCTACGCCGTCCGGCCAATTCCGTTCGAGGTCGGCGGGGGCTGGGCCGCGCTTATCGAAGGCTGTTGGCGGGACAACGTAGAATCTTCGTCGTCCGGGAGACTGCAAACGCGGGGTAAATGAGTGCATTAGTCAAAGTATAACAGACCATTCAGTACTACAGGGTTTGTTACGCTCGTTTTTTTTTTAAGGGGTAACGTTCCAGGTATACCGTTATTTTTTGTTGCCTGAAATGTAATTCATACGCCATTATCGAGTAAGCATCAGCTGCCCCACTACACTGTTTACGTCATTTCTCAATCCACGTTCATCCTGCCTTCATTCCCAACTGTATGCGTTTCTGCACCCGCAGAGAACAGCAAGTCGTCGGCGCCGGCGGCGGGCGCCTGGGACTCGCTGCCCCTCGTGTATCGCAACATGGACAGCGATCAGGGGGACCGGGAGACCACCCACCTGCTGGTCGACCTGCTGATGAAGTTTATGGCTCGGCCCGACCAGGTAGGACCGTCGTTGTTACCGCCAATTACCTGTGAATCGGCCGAGTTACGCGCGCTTTTTAAAGCCCCTGGTGTTTCAAGACTAAACCAGTGGCTTTGGTCAGCAAACTGACCAGGTAGAATTGACGGCGTGCCAGCGAATCGACCGAGCTGTGCGTACTCTTTAGACCACTGGTGTTTTGTGACTAAAGCAGTAAATTTGGCTGACAAGCGACACCGCATGTTGAGTTGTGAGGTATTTGGGTCATACAAGGGTCACATACATCTACATCAAATGTTCCTTTTTCCATTATTTGTTCATCAAACCGCCACCGTCAGCGTTACGCTGACCGTCTCGGTTTTTATCCTCGCAGGCGCCACCCGGTGACGACAAGCAGCAGTGCCGCAGCCAACAGATGGCCCTCCGACACCTGGCCATGAGCCTCGGGTTCAACCAGACCGACAAGACATTCTTCATGTCGCCGGCGCGGCTCAGGTGAGTCAGCGGACCTGTCGGAGAAGATGGGGAATACCTGGTGACGGTGGAATACCTGTTGACGGTGGAGTCGGATTTGATAGAACGTTTTGTGGTGTTCTCAGTTCTCTTGTCAAGGCTGACTCCGACTGACGGCGACTCCGACTCCGACTCCGACTCTGCAGCTCTGGCTGGATGATCCTGATCGGAGACACACCGCGGACTTGTAAGACCCCCTTCCACGCTGACCGTCACTCCATCACCGACAGGTCGAAGGCGTCATTCAACGCGTTCCTGTCCCAGCTGACGCACGTGCTCGACTACAACTTCCCTCTGGGCGGCGCTCTGGTACCGCTCTGTCTGCCGATCCTCCTGTACGCGGCGGCACCGTCCCGGCAGGCGGCCGTGGCGCCCGGCCGGCCCAGCTACAGCCTCTGGCATCTGGAGGAGCGCCAGAGACACGACTGGCTCGCCGCCCTGCTCACCATTCTGTACAAGGTACGACTGGCTGGCCGCCCTGCTCACCATTCTGTACAAGGTACGACTGGCTGGCCGCCCTGCTCACTATTCTGTACAAGGTACGACTGGCTGGCCGCCCTACTCACCATTCTGTACAAGGTACGACTGGCTGGCCGCCCTGCTAACCATTCTGTACAAGGTACGACTGGCTGGCCGCCCTACTCACCATTCTGTACAAGGTACGACTGGCTGGCCGCCCTGCTCACCATTCTGTACAAGGTGCGGCGGACAGTCGGGATGGGGTGCAGACTGCAGATCTCTCCGATTTTAGACTGCATGAGGAGGGCAGTGATTTGGGCTATAGTAAATGAGTGGAGGTAGGACTGATTTTGCGGGCTTTATAAAGAATATGTTGCAAAAGTAGACGATGGTATGAAATAGTGTGGCATTGATTTTGCATTCTTGTGGAAGCCAAAATCATGGCTATGCCAGGGCGTTTAAGGTTTTTACACTCTAGTTTAAATCATTTGCCGCGTCGATCAAACTAAAATTTGCCCTCGAGTCCAATTAGTTAAATTTTATCATAAGGGGATGTTTGAAACCTGCCAGCCAGCTGGTTTGTTACTATCAGCGCTTGAAACAGAGACAGCTGTTGTTGCTGCATGTGACTCGTCTTTTTGTGAGATATTTGTATCGTTGTTGTTTATATCGGCCTGCCTGACTTGTTTGACTTATTGTGTATGGCGTCGATTGTATGTTGTTGTTTTTTTTTACTCTATGTATTGTGACATGGCATTACTCTAAGCATTTATGTGAGCTATTTTCTCTCTAAGACCATTTTCTCTTGCGGTCTGTGCTTGTGCAGAATATTTTTGGCTTTATTCCTACCCGTCAATACGGAACGGGAGCAGCTTTGTTTTTGCCGAACGCTGAGCTCTGATAGAAGACGTCAGGTGCTACAGCCTCCGCGTCCGCTTTTGGTCGCCACGTTGTCGCCCGCCTGTGCTAATTACTTGTCGTTACATGTTGTTTTTCCGCTTGCGACCGCTACGACTGTCCACGTCGCCGCCGCTCCGGAATGCTCCGATCGCTGCTACTGCTACCGCTACCACGGCTGTGCTGCCGCTGCTGCAATTACTGCTTCCCCGACCGCTGCTACTGCTTCAACTGCTACTGCTTCCCCGGCTGCCGCTGGCCTACCAACCCCATCGTCTGCTGCCACCCCACCATCGGACAATTGGTGTGCATCGCTTCTGCATCGCCACCATGATCGTCGCCTCCGCCATCTTTTCGGCGGTACGGCACACCAACAGAAGGCTCGCTGCTCGGACTCGTTACAGTACCAGTACGGTGACCCGGGACTCAGCGTACCTCTGCTGGCGCTCTGTCAGATAGTGCTCAACACACTACACCTCTGCCGACCGCCGGCTGAGACGCCGGCCGCCGCCGCAGCCGCCGCCGCCCCGCTCAGCAGAATAGGTGGGTACGGTACGGGTGGAGTGGTTTGGATGGCTGTAATGTTGGGATTCCAAAAATCCTTTATCATAGAAATATACTGGGAGGGATACATTTTATCCGAATAAGTTGTTCATTTAAGATTTCTGCCTACGTAGTTTGCTAGGTTTTTAGATATTGTCGTTAAATGACATATTTAGGAGTCTACATTTTACATACAAATATGAAGATATCAGTATTGATGTAGATACCCAAAATAAAAGCGGGAGTCGTCTAACGGCTACTCACTTTGTCGTCAGGCTCTCACGGCTGCTACCCGTTCCCATCTTTAACGCGGCCGCACGTATCCACAGGCTCGCTGCAGCCGAGTGGTGTGGGAGGCTCCCCTCCCGGCCCTGCGGAGCAAACCCCGCCGGTGACCCCTCGGCCGACCCTGGCTCCTGAGCTGGTGCCTCAGCCGCCGCCGCCTCCCCCGGCGCCAGGACCGCCGTCCTTCAGTGTCGGTGGGGAGGACTGGCGCCGCGGCCGACCCGACCCGACCGCCTGGTGAGCGGGGAAAGGGCAGTGGTAGACAGCCTGGGGGGCGGGAATGGGCAGCGTCGGACCAGCGAGCTACGTTCGGGGGGTGATGGAGACTTACCAGTGTTGTTGATGATCAGGATTGGACACACTAATATCTCAGAAATATCACGGCTCATTTTGGATCACCACGACCACGTGTTCGTTAAATAGTATAGCTTTTGTAACCAATACTATCCTGGAGTCTGAATATTTGTGTCTCTTTTGCTGGTTTCCGAAAAAAATGAGTTTTTTAATAGATCGTGATGAAACATAGCAGGTTAATTTCAGTGCTTTTTGTTTTCAGTTACGGCAGTGAGGATAACGACATCGAGCCTGAACTAGAGGCTATCCCAGAGTCACCCAAGACACCGTCGTCACACCAGAGCTTCTGTGTAAGTGTGACTAGATCTAGTCACGGCTGCTGGTGGCTAGCTGAATCATGACTGCGCTATCTGATCACATGTCCCTAACCTATTCCAGTAGGAAGCTCTGTTGATATGATTTCGTGTACAAGTCTTCCTCTCCCTGACGTTCATGTGGGCCGGACAGGCTGTGACTGAGACTGAATGTCGCTTTACCTCAGTGCGTGCGCCAGCCCAGACTCGCGTTGGTCGTTTTCCGTGCGCCAGGATTCCCCGTTGATGGAGCTGGCCGTTACTTTACCTTGACCTGTGTCTGTCGTCCCCAGGACTCCTTAGTCGAGCTGGACGCGCTGGAGGAGATGACGCCCGTGCAGGCGGTCCAGCCCGTCCAGGTGGACAGCTGCCCCTTCACCGGACTCGGGGTGGCCGAGATGGCACAGTCGGTGTGTGTCACCAGCGAGGTGAGCTCGCGCTCCATCCGTCCCTCAGACTGTCTGCCGGTCTGTCTGTTTGTCGGGCACTGCGCGCTCCTCTCTGACAGGGGTGTCATACCGACTTGCGGCGCCGGAAAGCTGATGAATTAAGTACAGTGTTTCTTCTGAATTTTATTGTATCTCTGAGACACCACGTTTATCTTAAAGTGAGCTCATCTCCGTAAATAATTTGACTAGCTGCTTGATTTAGCGTTTTTCTTTGTCCCGCCGCTGTCCCATCGCTGACCGTGCACCCGTATCGCACGGTGCCGTGCAGCTGACGTCTGGCTATGGTCCGACCCGTGTTTTACCGCTGTGCCCTGCAGCTGACGTCTCTGACGCCGGAGGTGGCCACTGTGAACTCGGACCTGGTCACCGCTTCTGTGGCCCCCTCGGAGATGGCCACGGTGGTTCAGCCGACTGAGGTGGTCTGCCATCAGGCACAGACGGCGGATTTCAGGTAAGCAACTCGCTGCGGCTCAGATATACCAACTGAACAGTACTGATCGGGGTAGTTATTCAAAAGTCGCCACAGCCATCTGTGGTATATGCGCTCCTTGCATGGTGCTTAAATGCAATTATGGGATGCTGTGTTCCTGTCTTTTTTTCTTATTTTGCTATCGCCTGTATTCCTATTTATCTCCGTCGTTCTCCCAGACTTCCCCGTCGCCTAGTCTTATATAATACTGAACGAGGCCGGTGTAAATAAATTTTCAAGACCGAGGTCCTTACTGGATTTTTGAACGAGGCCGAAGGCCGAGTTCAAAAATCAGTAAGGACTGAGGTCTTGAAAATTTATCACCGGCCGAGTTTGGTATGTATTTTACTGTATGCCAACGATGCCAACGATAAATTTATTTTCTGGACCGAAGCTCTTAGCCGACTTAGGAACGAGAACATCCCAAAATGTTGGCTTAAGTGCATTCTGGTAATGCATTTTTGACCGTGGTCAATTTGCTTACACCAGTTATTACCACACCCCTCTGGCTAATGTATTTGAATAGACCAGGCATACAGTAATTCCTTATTCCAATAACTGCTAACAGTGCTTTGCTCTCTGATGCCCAGGAACTGACCTCCGCTCCGTGCCGTTACAGTGTGATGGAGGAGACTGCCGAGCTGGAGATGTTTCAGCCGACTGTGGTGTCCGCTGCGACCCATCCGCCGGCCACCGCGTGTCATCCACCGGTCGCCGCGCCTCACCCGCCGGCAGCCACCGCCGCCGCTCCTGCCGCCGGGAGACAGGCTGCGCCGCCGTTCTTACACAGTGAGTGAGACAAACTGTGTAGTCATGCAATAGTGCAGTCAGGGAGGCGCCACTCGCACTGACTGATGGGAGCAGCTGGCAACATTCTGAGGGTATCTATATCTACCTACTATTATATAAATCTTAAAAAGTTCGCCGCCGCCGTCGGGGTTACTCCCTAAAAGGCTTATTACGGCGCCGTCGATTGACGCAGGAGGGTGAAATTTTCACGACTCGTGGGTCCCGTCATTCAACAGGTCGTATTAAATTTTGGGCACGATGCGGCCGGGGGTGCGCCCGTGGCGCGTGCTCATGTGCGCCATAGGGTTAGCATTAGAATCGGCATAAACACTTATTAAACAGGCTATTGCTCGGAAACGGTGAGGGCTACGGGGGTGAAATTTTCATGCCAAGTCGAGCGCGTGCACTCATTTGTCGTATTAAATTTTCGACGGTGTGGGTTCAGCGGTGTGCACGTGGTGGGGCCGCGACCGGTGCAGAGCAGAAGGCACGTGCTTTAGGCTCAGTTGTTCGCTTAGAAAACTGAGTATGGTGAAAAGCATCAGAGCCAACGAAGGCCGACACAAGGCACCGCTCGCCAAGGGGATTCGCCAGTAAAAACAATTAATTTGTTTTTGCAATATCTCAGCCGTTTCTGGGCCGATTTAGCTGAAACTTGGACTGTCGGTGGTAGTATAGTGTAGGGTAGGGTAGGGTAGGGTAGGGTAGGGTAGGGTAGGGGATTGTAGGGTAGGGTTGGGTAGGGGATTGTAGGGTAGGGTAGGGTAGGGTAGGGGATTGTAGGGGATTGTAGGGTAGGGTAGGGTAGGGTAGGGTAGAGTTAGGTAGGGTAGAGTTAGGTAGGGTAGGGTAGGGTAGGGTAGGGTAGGGTAAGGTAGGGTAGGGTAGGGTAGTGTAAGGGTAGGGTAGGGTAGGGTAGGGTAGGGTAGGGTAGGGTAGGGTAGTATAGGGTAGGGTAGTGTAGGGTAGTGTAAGGGTAGGGTAGGGTATGGTAGGGTAGGGTAGGGTAGGTTAGTGTAGGAGTAGGGTAGGGTAGGAGTAGGGTGGAGTAGGGTAGGGTAGGGTAGGGTAGGGTAGGGTAGGGTAGGGTAGTGTAAGGGTAGGGTATGGTAGGGTAGGGTAGTGTAAGGGTAGGGTAGGGTAGTGTAAGGTAGGGTAGGGTAGGGTATGGTAGGGTAGGGTAGGGTAGGGTAGGGTAGGAGTAGGGTAGGGTAGGGTAAGGGTAGGGTAAGGTAGGGTGGGGTAGGGTAGGGTAGGGTAGGAGTACGGTAGGGTAGGGTAGGGTAGGTAGGGTAGGGTAGGGTAGGGTAGGGTAGGGTAGGGTAGGGTAGTGGTAAGGTAGGGTAGGGTAGGGTAGTGTAGTGTAGGGGTAGGGTAGGGTATGGTAGGGTAGGGTAGGGTAGGGTAGGGTAGGGTATGGTAGGGTAGGGTAGGGCAGGGTAGGGTAGGGTAGTGTAGGGGTATGGTAGGGTAGGGTAGGGTAGGGTAGGGTAGGGTAGGGTAGGGTAGGGTAGGGTTGCGTTCAGTAACATCTTAACTTACAAAGGGCTCGAAGAACTCGCATGCATCACCATCATACTTTACAGTTCAATTAAAAGCAGTTACCCACTTCTACAAAAATCATACCAATAAAAATGCAAGTTTCTACACCCAAACTAATGCATCCGTTAATCATACATATCAAAACATACAGTTATCGCGTAAACCTGTACCTCTAGTCTACTATTATAAATCTTAAAAAGTCCGCCGTCGGGGTTACGCTGACGGCGTGACGCCCAAAAACGGCTATTGCGGCGCCGTCAATTGACGCAGGATGGTGAAATTTTTACCACTCGTGGGTCACGTAATTCATCAGGTCGTATTAAATTTTGGGCACGATTCGGCCGGGGGTGCGCCCGTGGCGCGTGCTCATCTGCGCCATATGGTTAGCATTAGAATCGCGACCGGCGCCGAGTAGAGGGCACGTGCTTTAGGCTCAGTTGTTCGCTTAAGAAACTGAGTGGAAATAATGAGCCGGCAGGTCATTGACCTTTGACAACGAATGCCGACACAAGGTACCGCTCGCCAAGGGGATTCGCCAGTAAATACAATTAATTTGTTTTTGCAATATCTCAGCCGTTTCTGGGCCGATTTAGCTGAAACTTGGACTGTCCTTGGTAGTGTAGGCCAGGGTAGGGTAGGGTAGGGTAGGGGTAGGGTAGGGTAGGGTAGGGTAGGGTAGGGTAGTCTAGGGTAGGGTAGGGTACAGTAGGGTAGGGTAGGGTAAGGTAGGGTAGGGTAGGGTAGGGTAGGGGTAGGGGTAGGGTAGGGTATGTTAGGTTAGGTTAGGGTAGAGTAGGGTAGGGTAGGGTAGGGTAGGTTAGGTTAGGGTAGTGTAGGGTAGGGTAGGATTGGGTAGGGTAGGGTAGGGTAAGGTAGGGTAGGGTAAGGTAGGGTAGGGTAGGGTAGGGTAGGGTAAGGTAGGGTAGGGTAGGGTAGGGTATAGTAGGGTAGGGTAGGGACTAGGGTAAGGTAGGGTAGGGTAGGGTAGAGTAGGGTAGGGTAGGGTAGGGTAGGGTGGGGTAGGGTAGGGTAGGGTAGGGTAGGGTAGGGTAGGGTAGGGTAGGGTAGGGGATTGTAGGGTAGGGTAGGGTAGGGTAGGGGATTGTAGGGTAGGGTAGGGTAGGGTAGGGTAGGGGATTGTAGGGTAGGGTAGGGTAGAGTAGGGTAGGGTAGGGGTAGGGTAGGGTAGTGTAGGGGTAGGGTAGGGTAGGGTAGGGTTGCATTGAGTAACATCCTAACTTACAAAGGGCTCGAACAACTCGCATGCATCACCATCATACTTTATAGTTCAATTAAAGCAGTTACCCAGTTCTACACAAATAATACCAATAAAATTGCAAGTTTCTACACCCAAACTAATGCATCCGTTAATCATACATATCAAAACATACAGTTATCGCGTAAATCTGTACCTCTAGTCTACTATTATAAATCTTAAAAAGTCCGCCGCCGCCGCCCACGCCGCCGTCGGGGTTACGCAGTCGGTGTTACTCCCAAAAACGCTTATTGCGGCGCCGTCGATTGACGCAGGAGGGTGAAATTTTCACGACTCGTGGGTCACGTAATTCAACAGGTCGTATTAAATTTTGGGCACGATGCGGCCAGGGGTGCACCCGTGGCGCGTGCTCATGTGCGACATAGGGTTAGCATTAGAATCGCGACCGGCGCCGAGCAGAGGGCACGTGCTTTAGGCTCAGTTGTTCGCTTAAAAAACTGAGTGAAAGCATCAGAGCCGGCAGGTCATTGACCTTTGACAACGAATACCGGCGCCGGGCACCGCTCGCCAAGGGGATTCGCCAGTAAATACAATTAATTTGCTTTTGCAATATCTCAGCCGTTTCTGGGATGATTTAGCTGAAACTTGGACTGTCGGTGGTAGTGTAGTTTAGGGTAGGGTAGGGTAGGTAGGGTAGTTGTAGGGTAGGGTGGGGTAGGGTAGGGTAGGGTAGGGTAGGGGTAGGGTAGGGTAGGGTAGGGTAGGGTAGGGTAGGGGATTGTAGGGTAGGGTAGGGTAGGGTAGGGTAGGGTAGGGTAGGGGATTGTAGGGTAGAGTAGGGTAGGATAGGGTAGGGTAGGGGATTGTAGGGTAGCGTAGGGTAGGGTAGAGTAGGGTAGGGTAGGGGTAGGGTAGGGTAGTGTAGGGGTAGGGTAGGGTAGTGTAGGGGTAGGGTAGGGTAGTGTAGGGGTAGGGTAGGGTAGTGTAGGGGTAGGGTAGGGTAGGGTAGGGTAGGGTAGGGGATTGTAGGGTAGGGTAGGGTAGGGTAGGGGATTGTAGGGTAGGGTAGGGTAGGGTAGGGTAGGGTAGTGTAGGGGTAGGGGTAGGGTAGGGTAGTGTAGGGTAGGTTAGGGTAGGGTAGGGGTAGGGTAGGGTAGGGTAGGGTAGGGTAGTGTAGGGGTAGAGTAGGGTAGGGTAGTGTAGGGTAGGTTAGGGTAGGGTAGGGTAGTGTAGAGGTAGGGTAGGGTAGGGTATGGTAGGGTAGGGTAGAGTAGAGTAGGGTAGGGTAGGGTATAGGTAGGGTAGGGTAGGGTAGTGTAGGGTATGGTAGGGTAGGGTAGGGTAGGGTAGGGTAGGGGTAGGGTTAAGTTCAAAAAGGGCCTAACATACAAAACACTTGAACACCCCGCACCGCACCTATCACCAACCCTTACAGTTTAATTAAAAACAGCTACCCAAATCTATCCAAATAATACATCTAAAAATACAAGTCAATCACCCAAACTAATGCACCCGTAACATAACATAACTCAAAACATACAGTTATCGCGTAAACCTGTACCTCTAGTCTACTATTATAAATCTTAAAAAGTCCGCCGCCGCCGCCCACGCCGCCGTCGGGGTTACGCAGTCGGTGTTACTCCCAAAAACGCTTATTGCGGCGCCGTCGATTGACGCAGGAGGGTGAAATTTGCACGACTCGTGGGTCACGTAATTCAACAGGTCGTATTAAATTTTGGGCACGATGCGGCCAGGGGTGCACCCGTGGCGCGTGCTCATGTGCGCCATAGGGTTAGCATTAGAATCGCGACCGGCGCCGAGCAGAGGGCACGTGCTTTAGGCTCAGTTGTTCGCTTAAAAAACTGAGTGAAAGCATCAGAGCCGGCAGGTCGTTGACCTTTGACAACGAAGGCCGACACAGGGCACCGCTCGCCAAGGGGATTCGCCAGTAAATACAATTAATTTGCTTTTGCAATATCTCAGCCGTTTCTGGGATGATTTAGCTGAAACTTGGACTGTCGGTGGTAGTGTAGTTTAGGGTAGGGTAGGGTAGGTAGGGTAGTTGTAGGGTAGGGTAGGGTAGGGTAGGGTAGGGTAGGGTAGGGGTAGGGTAGGGTAGGGTAGGGTAGGGTAGGGGATTGTAGGGTAGGGTAGGGTAGGGTAGGGTAGGGTAGGGTAGGGTAGGGTAGGGGATTGTAGGGTAGAGTAGGGTAGGATAGGGTAGGGTAGGGGATTGTAGGGT